CCGCTGTCTCCCACTGCACCTCCAATGCCACCCCATGCACCCCCGATCTGCAACGCCCAGAGCACCCCGCTGCAGGCCCTGCTGCAACCCCACCCTCCTCTGCAGCCAGCCCCCTACTGCACCCCATCCCAGGGCACCCCTCACTGCAGTTCACCTCCTGCTGGGGACCTGCCCCCTCTCTGTGTGGGGGAGCAGCCTCCCCCACTGCACCGGCACCCCCAGGGCTCGGGGAATGGGTGCCATGGTGTCCCAGGGCTGCAGGGAGGAGGTTGCAGCCTCCAGTGGGGAGCACGGTGGGATGGCAGGCAGCAAGGCAGGGTGGTGGGGAGCGTGGTGGGATAATGGGGATGGCAGCAGGGTGGTGCGGAGCTCAGTGGGATGATGGGGGTCATGGCACGGTAGTGGGGAGCACAGAAGGATGACAGGGAGCACAGCAGGGTGGTGGGGAGCATGGGCAACCACAGCCCAAGGGTGCCCTCCCATTGCAACCTCACTGGTTGCAAGCGGCAGGGCTCAGGAAAGGAGATGCCACCTTTCTGCTACCTTTGCCCACCCCAATCAGGCCCTGGGGGGGAAAGCCAGGGCAGAGCTGTTTGCTGTGAGGCTTGGGGCCAGAGCTGCTGGCCAGCAGCCAGCTGCTTTCTGCTCCCTGCTTGGGAGCACAGAGGAGGGTTTGTGTGCGGCTGTGGGAGCACCATCCCCACCGGGGCTGGCCCCGCTCCCGGCAGCCCCCACGAGCCCCATCTCCCTACCCGCCACATCACGGGGTCGGTGTGCCATCGCAGCACGGTCCTTCTCAGGACCCCAGGGCGCACAGCTGGCGTGGGACAAGGGACAGTGCCGCAAAAGGTAACGGGCTTTCCCGGCACTGCTCGCTCACGCTTCTCCCCTGCCAGACGCCAGCTGGGCTGTGACGTTGCTGCTCACTGTTGCCGTAGCACCTGCTGTCCCTGGTCGCCTTGCTGGTGGCCCCGTTGGCCATGCCCCTGGCCCTTCTCCATGGCTTGGCCACACGTGGGGTGCTCCAGCCAGCTGGCACGTGCTGCTCATCCTGGTGACATCCATGGTGGGCCATGTGGAGGCTCCACATGTCATCTGAAGGATGTGGGGTGCCCTGGCAAGCCCCTGGCAGATGGTGTTTCTGGTGGGGCAGGCATCCAAGGCAGAAGTAGGCTGGGATGTGCAGCAGGAAGGGCAGAAGTTGAGAGACATCTTGTTGGGGAGCTACAGGGACACGTACTGCAACCTCACCCTGAAGGTCGTGCACGGCATCTGAGCAGTGCCCGCCCCGCTACATCCTCAAGATGGATAATGACTGCTTCAACACGGGCTGCTTGCCCACCTTCCTGGCTGGGCTTGATCTGGCATGGACTGGCTTCTACATGGCGTCCTTCTCCTGGGAGAAGTGGCAGTTCATCCGCCAGCCCTCCAGCAAGTGGCACATGGCATGCCGGGACTACTGTCCCAATGTCTACCTGCCCTACGCCAGCAGCATCGGCTACATCCTCTCCCTGGATGTGGCCAAGAGATTCTGGAGGTGGCTGGCACATCTGCCCCATCCCCATGGAGTATGTGGGCATCCTGGTGGAGGTGGTGGCGGTCCAGCCAAGAGCCAGTGACCACTTTGCCAAGCGTAACATTCTATGGTGCATCTGCAACCACGCTACCTGATGGTGATCCATGTCCTGAGCCTGCGGGAGCAGGAGGGGGCTCACTGCAGCGTGCTGCAAGCCTGCAGCACCGGCTGCACCAGCCCCAGCTTGCCTGTTGGAAGTGACCTGCCGAGGACTTGGGGACCGAGGGGCTGTGGCCACAGCATGCGCTGCCTCCCCAGCCCTGGTGCCCCCCCGCATTGCCCACCCCGGCCCTTTCCCTTGCAGAAGGATGCAGTCGTTGCCCTGGCTGGGCTGCCTGCCTTCCCCTGCCCCAGTGGCAGCCCTCCTCCCCTCCGCAGCCTGGCGGCAGGTCCTCTGAGCTGGGGTCCTACCAGCCCCAGGCGCAGCTGGAAGCCATCAGGGAGTGGGCAGGGGCAGAGAAAATACATTTGCCCCATGGTGTGTGGCCTGGGAGTTTCTCGGAGGCTGTAAATAGCTGAGTTCCCCTTCTGCTCATTTCGAAAGTGAGAAGGGGAATGTCCGCCGGAGAGGGGGGAAAGAATTGGTCAATTGCCGTCGCAGGTACAAAAGCTATTTTTAATTTTATTAAAATTCTATAAAATTCCAAAATATCCGGGACGTCTGCTATAAAGATTTGTGCCGTGGCTGTGTAGCAAAGCTGTCACCCCTGCGGCCAGGGATGGTGACACTCAAGGCGGGGTGCAGCCGGTGGCAGGGGACACCCGAGGCTCCTCTTTGTGCTCTGGGGAGGTGTGGGGAGCGCCAGGGGAACAGGGCACCCCGGGGCTGCCCTCGAAAAAGGGCATGTGGGGGACACAGTGGCCAAGGGGGCTGGGGTGGGTCTGCGGACGGAGCAGGAGCTGGTGCAGGGTCTCGCCCACCTGCACCAGGCTGTGGGAGAGGAGCTGGAGGTGAGAGACGGTGTCGCTGGCCAGGCTCTCCAGCAGCGCCTGCTGCTGCCGCGACGTCTGCAGGATCTGCACCAGCAGCTGCTGGATGCTCTGGAGCAAGCCTGACACGCCGGAGCCTGCAATGATAGGGGGGTCAGTGGCGGCAAACCCTCACTATGGCTCCGAGAGCCCCCTGTGAGGCTGTCAGGATGCTGCAGGGAGGACCCACCATGCAAGCTTGCATCTGATGCCTCTTCACTTGCTGCTGGCTGCTCACTCATGGCAGCCATCCCAGGGGAGGCCAGGGCTGCGGTGGCCACTGGCAGCACTTGGTTTCCTCTTCCCATCCCCGGGGACATCTCACCAGGAAAACCTGCCACGATGGTTTGGCATGGAGGGAGCAACCAGGGTGCTGGAGCCACCCAGGCCCCATGCTCAGCCTGACCCTGCTGCAGAGCCCTGGGCAGGCACTGCCTGCGGGAGCCTCTGCCCTCCGTCCCCATGGGCAGGACGGGACAGAGCTGCCCCCCAAGCAGGGGGACTTGCTCGAAGCTGCAGACCCTTACCAGCCTTTTGCTCAGCTCTTTCCTGCTTCAGGGCGGTGTGACAGCCTGGAAAGAGAGCAGACACAGCCTGTGAGCTGCG